CACGTGCAGCTATGCCGGTGGCTGTACATGGTGCAGGGTGAACGCACGTGTAGTCATAGCTGGATCTTTGACCCCCAGCATGCCTTCAAATCACCGCCTTTTGTCGTTATTATTATTATTGCTGTTATTATTGTTGTTATTATCACCTGGGTGACAAAAAATAATTAAGATTAATTAACTTGTTACTATTAATAATTAAATTAAAACTCACATATTGTCTATATTGTTGATCAAAATGTAATCTCAAATGTTGTCCAAAATGTGTGATCGCGACTTACGTCTATGAGATACTTGTTAACACAATTAGTATTATCAACTTATATTTATCACACAATTATATTGAATAAAGTTATTAAAAACTGTTAACAAAGAGCTCAACAATAGGCGATTTGTCAAACCATAGCTGGAATCAAATCAGAAATAATAAATAGTGATCGAACACACAAAATGTTATTAAATTAACCAAGCTTATTAAATTAGTGACCATGCACACACGCACACACAAACATGCTGATCCCATGAGCTAATCATATAGTGCTCAGACTTTTATAATATTCACCTTCTAATTTTTGGTATACATACATGTTTAATACATATAATTCATTAATGTAAAAAGGGATTCCCGAAATAAATATACATGTTAATTACGATGTAAATATAATAGGCTTAATACATAACCCGTTCAAAAATGTATAATCACGCCTATGGTTTAGCAACTTCTGTCAACCCTATTACAAACATATACCTTACATAACATTATATTATAGTGTATTGCAAAAATAGCCGCCGCTTAACACACAGTGTATACAGGGGTTGGGTATTACATTCATGCGCGACTTTGGTATCTCACTATATCTGTCTCTCGCTTTTTTGGGAGTGAATTGTTTCATAAATTTCAAAAGTCTGTCTGAAAAATACTTGAAAAGTAAATTGTTTATAACAAAATACATGTAGTATTGGGTCATATCGTTGTGCTGTTAGGTATGGTTTATGTAAAGCCTATTATACCGGCGCCGTTGTTTGGTTCCGGTGCTTATCCGCCATAACCTATACCTATATGTGATATATATATATGGGAGAGATAGCGAGGCATCCATAACCTTAACGCACAGGTAGTTTGGCATTTGTATATCAATTATTATAATTATTGTTTGTTTTATGTGTCTATAGTTATCGTTGTGTTTGTATTTTATTTCAATTAACATAAAACACTCGTTATATGATATACAGGGTATGCAAAAAAGCAAGTATACTATTGAATGTCAAATTAGCCAATATGTAAAAGTGGGCCATAAATTGCATTAAACAAATATTTCTTTACATCTAAATCACATTTTATTTTGGCTTTTTTATAGTCTTTATCATGAAAATAATTTATTACATAAATAAATTATAATTAGAGTGAGTAAAAAAACATAACATTATTTTAATTATTATTTTACACAAAAGAAGTAAAATAAAAATAAAAATAATAGAAGTATTATTATAAATACTAGCACATAATGATAAATCATATATATTGTTATTTGTGGTCGATTTGTAACATTATTACCACGAGTATTCGTGCTAGAGCATGGTTTATAATAAGCATTGATAATATCCATATCTTCAGGTGTTAGCAGTTTTTTAAATATTAGCAAATTTTTCGCATTTTCGTCCATTTCTTTGATTATTAATTAAAATAAAAATGAAAAAATAACTTTTTTATGCAAATACTAGTTTATTATATAAATCACATTAATAGATAATGTGCATAAATCACTCGATTGCAATTAGGTGAAACTGATTTTGCCATTTAATTTAACTAAACTTTATATTGTAACGCAAAACACACAAAATGATATTTGTAAATTTATAAATACTTGTGTTAAAAATTGTTGTTTTTAAATAAAAATAAACTTTTATAAATATTTTAATAATTAATTAAATTGTATATAAAATTTTAAAATATATGCAAACATATTTTCATGCACAGAAATAATCTAGTTTATTTGTACGAAAAACATTTGTTTTATCATGTTAATCAAAATGCGGTCAACACGAGACAACAGAAAAACATCCACATTCAATCAACAGTTTGTTGACCAACAAAAACAACAACAAATACTACACTATCACTAACATTGTATGTCGTGTCTATGCATTTGTAATGATCGCCGGCACCGACAACACCAGCGCCGGCACCGCAGGCCCTATCACTAAGCCTTCGATGCCTAACATTCATTATCAGATCAGATACTTATCCCATCAATAAAATAAATCACTTTTTGTATTTTAACCGCAATTTTTATATACTAAAAATATACTAATAGATTATTTATAATATGATATACCTTTTGATCCAATTGTAATAGCTTTTGGATGTGCCAAAAGTTGTCGAAATAATGTTTGATTAAAATTGTTTAATTTAATTAGTTTCAAATTAGTTATAACACACACAAAGTGGTTGTCGATTGAAATTAATTAAAAATATTAATCAAATAAAACAATGTATTAATTAATTTAATTACAATTATTTTGCTTTGAGAAATATCAAAATGCCAATCAATTGTTAACTTTTCAAAAACTTCAAATTGTTTAATAAGTTATATATTGAGACACTCGGTGTCCACTCTCTGGTAGACTACAGACAACTAATAATACCAAAAAATAAAATAAAAATTTTTGTTAAAAAGTATTGTTTCACTAAATTTTGTCAATCTATTTTCAACACTTAATTATACATAATTTGAAAACGGATTTACGCTTCAAGAGCACAAAAAAAGTTTTGCAATAAATATTACACACAATTAGAGTGACCAGGTGTACATATTACGGTTAATAATTGTATTTTGAAAATTTAATTTTAAATGCATTGTTAAATAAATATCATTGTTTAAAAATTTTAATTGTTATTTTACTTTATTTGTATTTTGAAAATTTTTTAATATGATTGCTGATATTTATTCGGTTATCTAATAGAAATCGACCATAAAGCACTAATCCCATAGATTTATCAGCATCCATAGACTTATCATTGCCATAGACTTAGCATTACCCATGTTATTCCTATGCCATAGACTTAGCATTATCCATAGACTTTGATTGCCATAAACTTAGCATTACTCATGTTGTTCCTATGCCATAGACTTAAGTTGTAATCCCATAAAACCTATGTTAAAGCTTTCCCATGTTAATCCTANAATGTTTTTTACAACAATTAGTTTATAAACTTATCCCTATGCCTTAGACTTATCATTAACCATAGACTTATCATTGCCATAGACTTAGCATTACCCATAAATTTATCATTGTCATAGACTTAGCATTACCCATAGATTTATCATTGCCATAGACTTAGCATTGCCCATGTAATCTCTATGCCATAGACTTAGCATTACCCATAGACTTATCATTGCCATAGACTTAGCATTACCCATAGACTTATCATTGCCATAGACTTAGCATTACTCATGTTGTTCCTATGCCATAGACTTAGCATTATCCATAGAAACCCATGTTAAAGCCTCCCCATGTTAATCCTATGAGAGCTTTCCCATGTTAATCCTATGTCATAGATTTAAGCTTTTTTATCCTATAAAAGCCTATGTTAAACATTTTTCATAAACTTAACATTAATCCCATAGGATTAACATGAAGCAAGAACAGGCAAGAGGCAAAACAAATTATAAATTACTAATATAAAACTGTTAAAATGTCTTAATTTTATTCAAAATATAAAGATATTTGTATTAATATAATGATATATAAAATCAAAATTTATAAATGAATATTGTGTACATTATTTTGACAAATATTTTTAATTTTTGTAAACTATAATGATTTACCCACATGGTCACACTACACATAAGTTTAATGTAAACTAAATGTTTAAGGTCACTTTAAACTCAAAAATTGTTAATGTAAATTATGGAGTGTAAGAAAAAAATGTAATCTTAAAAAGTTTGTCTAATTAAAATTTCAAGCACTGTTAAATGCATGAATTCATGATTATTATACATGTTTTTTTCAACTCAATATTCAGTTTAAATGTTTAAGCGTACAACTATTTATATTTATAAATTGTATAATTCCAGGGCCATTTAAATTTTATCATTATTATGTTAAATTTAATATTTTGTATTATATTTTTAAGACCAAATGTGCTGCAGAAGAGATAACAGCTTTCCATAAGTATATCCTAAGCTTTCGTACAGATGAAGAGAAGGAGAATTGTGGCAAATTTCTATACCATTTGTCCGCATGTAATAAATTATTTATGTAATTGTTTTGATTAATTAATCATGTTATAAATAATTCAACAATAATTAAATTAATAAAATATATTGATTTTGCTATTTAATTATTATGATAACTAATCTCCTCAAATGATATTAGAGTTTATTTGATGAATGCGTCACTTTTACATTACAAAAACTGTAATGATTACCATAATAAATGTTTAATATGTTATCAAAAATAATATTTGATAATGGTTGGTATTATTCACAGAAATGTTCATGATTAATCGTATTTAAAATAATTCTTTGAAATATTTTAATTTTTTAAAATTATTAGCCTTGTTATTTTAATTAACATTGAATTTATTTTCATTAATAATTATATTATCAATAAATTGAGAATAGTGTAAATACTGTAATAATAATCACAATAAATGAATAATTTATAAAATACTTAACATTAAGTCTAAGGATGGAATATTAAGAATTATTAAGAACATGATTATATATTTTAATCTCAAGTTATCACATAAAACTTTTTTGGTTTCTTATCACACGATACATGTATACTGTATACAAATTGTATAATAAAATTACATATATCACATGAAATAATGATTTATAAATTAATATATTAAATTTCTAATGAATTATTTTAAATGTAAAAATATACATACTGTATCATGTGTATCATATTTCAACACTTATCTAATGAATTACTGTGCATACATTGTAATCTTGCAATAAAATCATTTGTGTAAACATAGAGTTAGTTGACATATGGGTGTGTTGTATATAAAGCTAAGTATTTAATTTTATATAAGAAAAATTAATATAATATGAATATACCAAGTAAAATTATGTTTTGCTACTTATTAACCACTATACTATTAATCGGGGGCAGTATTGAAGACGCACCCGAGCCCTTTCCAGTATTGAGTAAATGTTTTGACAGCATATACTCCTAACCATCCAATGTGTGGCCGACGCCTACCAGCATTGGAATATGACCAACAGATGGGATCCTCCCGTCTATTACAACCCGATAGGTAAGCAGTCTTGCTGTTTCGGGTTGGAGGCGTTTGACTGTTACGAGAGTGGGGCCAGTCGTATGCATATTTTGATTATATTGATTTAGTTTAGTAGCATGGTTATTATTAATAATTATTTTTATTAGAAAAAATGCACAGAGACTGAACAGATAGCGGTGAAAAAATTTATCCAGGACACCATCACTAACCAGTCACATGGCGATTGTGTTAACTATCAATATCATTCAAAACACTGTCAACAGTAGAATTCAATCTATATTAATTGTTCATGTTGTATTTTTAAAAAATTTTTATTTAAAATAAGCATTCATAATTTTATACTATAAGTTAAAAAGTTTACAAAATAAAACATTTAATAAATCATGTTTTTAGATAAATAACTTAAAATACTTTAATTAAATAAAATTTTAAGTAGAAATTATATTTTAAATTAATTTTGTAATATTTTTAAACAAAATTTTTATGTTTAAAACAGATATATTTATTTTATATTAGTTTTACTTATAGTAATTACAACTATTTTGCCTTAATTAAAATTTTCAAAATACAATTAAAAGTAAAATGACAAAATATTTTAATAATTATTTTAATTATTTATGTTTTAAATATTTATGTAAATAATATTTTATAATATTAGAAATGGAGTGTAAAATGTGATAATAATTGACTTAAAATGAGTTAATTATTAACACTAAATCATTTGAGTGTTAAATGAACCAAAAAATGTTGCAAAATTATATTATAATACAATATCAGTTAAGATTGTGTAAGATTTATACTAATATATAGTACTGTATCACGCAAAACAAAATTGAATGCTAAAATCATTTACGTTAGTTATTTTTCATTATTATAAAAAAGATTTTAAAACTTTTCAAACATTTTAAAATATCCCAAAAATTTTATGAATTGTTTGTATATTTATTTATCTTAATAATACAAAATAGATATAATAATATCTCGTGTTTTAAACATAAAAACATTGTTTAAAAATATTTTAAAATTTTTATAAATATTAAATGCTATTTCTTATAATTTTTATATAGTATTTATTAAAATAATTTTTTTCTAGATTTAAAATTTGATCAAAAATAAGTTAATTTATCTATAGAACTTTTTAAATGTAACTAGAATTTAAGTATAAAAATAAAATATATACTACTATTAATATTTTAAACATTTAAACAATATCTAACACAAATATTCATCAACCAACAATAATAGTAATCAGGGTCCTAATTGGCATTAATGAATTAAAATACATAACGTAACATGATTGTATAATTAATATTATGATAAACTGCAATTGTTTGCAAAAATAATTACAAAAATTGTTAATAATTGGAAAAATTTTTATTTAAAATACAATCAATAATTAAAAAGCAATCCTTTTTACAATAATCGTATGCAAAATGCATTATATTTAATGCAATTATAATGTTATGGAAAACTGTAATGAAATTTGTATCAAAATAGTTGAGCGCATAATTCAAAGCTGCCGTTCAGACCATTGGGTTGACAGAAAAGTCGTCTATCGGAGCGTAAAAATTGTTACATCGATATAATGAATACTCGTTATAATGAATGAGATATTGTTTTTCTGTTACTTTTTACTCGGTTTTGCATCGATACAGACAGACTTAGAGCTCTCTCTCTCTCTCTCTCTCT